TCTATTAGATAGTAGAATTAATGGTTACTCTAATTATTGTGTTTCCAATGCAGTTTCCTTAATTATTTTATTGTCTGTGGTTTCCGAGTGTGTCGGCTGCTGCACCAGCTACAGATGGCGGTACTCTGCCGCTGCTGCGAACAGAATACACACAATAAAACACTCTTATTTAGTTACTCATATGAATAAACCTACTTAGTTACAGTGTTACAAATACAAACTTGAATATTTAAAAAATTTTCGAACATATTGTTTGTTAATCTTAGAAGACAAAAATGTATAATTTCCAAAAGTTTCATGTTTAATTTATACTGATTTTTTTACAAATTTGCAGTTCGTGTTGCGGTTTCTATTGATTTTTTCACATGGTTCTACCGATATCCACAAAGTTAACAACACTGTTGTGTTCTCTTGCTTCGTAATTTTTCGTTTTTTATTTTCGGTTTTCGGTTGCTTTGTGTTTATCAAAATGGCGTTGTGTTGTGCTAGTAAGTTTATTAAGTTTTATTATATAAATATGTATTCATTATTAATAAATATAACAGTTTGTAATAATTATTTAATATAGGGTTTTAGCTTATTTAACTTTAAGTGGCACATTTTATATAGAGCGAATAACCGGTAAATACATAACCTTGTTTGCACACAAATTTTAGTTTCAAATGAAGTGCCGGAACATCCCGTAGTATCTCCATCTTCAGGTGCTATTTTTGAGAAACGCATTATAGAAAAGTATATCCAAGAAAATGGAGTAGATCCTATAAGCGGAAAGGAGCTTAGTATGGAGGATTTAATAGAAATAAAAAGTAAGTTCATTAAAAAGTTGTATAGAAATTTTGGCAATAATAAGTATATTTTAGCTCCCCCTATAGTAAAACCAAAACCACCGAGTGCCACAAGTATTCCAGCAACATTAAAGTTATTACAGGATGAATGGGATGCTGTTATGTTATATAGTTTTACCCAGCGTCAACAGTTACAAACTGCAAGGCAAGAACTTAGTCATGCTTTGTATCAGCATGATGCTGCTTGTAGAGTAATAGCACGTCTTAATAAAGAAGTAACTGCTGCCAGAGAAGCTTTAGCTACCCTCAAACCACAAGCTGGAATAACTACTGTACCACAACCAGTAAGTCTATACTACATGTGTGTTTATTAAATTATAAAAAAAACATATAATACTGATACAATAAACTGTATTTTAGGCCGTTGCTGCTGAAGCTGGTGGTGTTGCTAATCAACCAACAGAACAAGCTGGAATGAGTTCAGAAGTTATACAGAAATTACAAGAGAAAGCAACAGTATTAACACAAGAACGTAAAAAGAGAGGTCGTACGGTTCCTGAAGAATTGACGACGCAAGAACAACTTAGATCATTTAGAACTTTAGCGTCTCTTATTGTAAGTTTTAAATGACATATTACTATTGTTTTATTATTTTTAAAATCTCTGTAGGGTTTACATTCAGCGAGTATACCTGGTATTCTTGCATTAGATGTACATAGTTCTGATACGAGTAAAGTGCTTACTGGTGGTAATGACAAAAATGCAACTGTATTTAATAAGGACACGGAACAAGTTGTAGCCATTCTTAAAGGACATACAAAGAAAGTGACTAAAGTAATATATCATCCAGACGAGGATCTCGTTCTTACAGGTAGGGTTCATTAATAATTTTTACTTATTTATTCATATACTTTGTGCAATATTTTTTATTATATTATGTAGTGGTCCTTAACCCTTTCGCTGCTCAATACGTCTGAACGTAGCTACCACGCCTTGCGCGAAAGTTTATCGCGTGCGAATATATACGTCTGGAGCAGTTAGACCACTTATAGTTTTACATTATGTTGTGTTAAATTACGATTTACGATAAATTTTACGATTTTATTTTGAATAAAATACAGTATATGTACTAAATAGAAACTGAAAGAAACATGAACAATCTTGGTATTATTACCAGTACCTCTTTCCATAAAAATATTTGTCACAATCGGTATAAGCTCGCCCGCAAAAATTCGCCTTACCAATTGCAATAACCGAGTCACTAATGTGCATGGTTGCGAATATATACGGTTTGAGCAGCTTGATCCAATTTAACTATTCATGCGAATTAATCCGTCTGGAGCAGTTTGAGCCCTATAAATTTTTAGCCAAATTTTTGTGCTAATGACATAGCTATGTAGAAGTTCATACTCAATCGGTTCATTTGATTTTCAATTGCATTTCAAGGGAAAAAAATGCTTCTCACCTTTTTCTTTTGTAAAAGTAGTAATTTTCAACTTATTTTTTTAACCTAAAATGAATTTGGCACTAAGATAAATTATTCGAAAATAATTAATTTCAGAAAAAAAAGGCTGAATTTTTTGGTTCAAATCCAATTTTAAATATAATGTTATAAATAAGTCTGGAAAATTCAGTGGTGCAGAAAATAAAAAAATTGTGCACTAACGATTTTTTAAATTTTTATTCAAACTGGATCTAACGTTAAGCGACAATGTCCTGTTAAAATTGCTGCCATCCCTCCACGAAATATCTTATTGTCTGGTCTGGTCTGGTCTTGAGTGTCGGTATTCGCAACGTTTATTACAAGTTTACCTCCCCAGAGCCTTCTATACAGATTTATAAGTAATACCAAATGCTGGCTCTGGCTTTTATGCAAGTTGATCTGCTTTTTCATTTCCTTCAATGCCTTATGTTCTAGCACCAAACAACCTCTTAGTGTTGATACTTACCAGTTCAGTTAGTAATTGTAAACAATCCCGAACAAGTTTACAGCATATCTTGTTTGAGTGTAAGGCCTTTATTGCAGTTTGACTAGAGAGAATATGTAGATAAGCATAACAGCTAACGTTTTACCTTGGAATAGTATCTGGAACCCTCTCAAACTATAGTGTCTTTACCATCTGGGCCTCAGTCCTCTTCATGCAGCTCTTGTTACACTGTTTTAGAGCAATTCGTAAATAATATTAGGCTCCAATTTTTTTGTGCATTTTATCGACTCCCATTCTCCTTGATTCCCTATTCGAGTCTCAAAATGTTTGTGGAATTTTGCAGTCATTCTGTCCAATCTCATCTCAAAAATAGATCTGATAGGAGTGCCACTTGTTATGAGGTGCAATTTTCTGCTCATTGTTATACCTGATACTGTAAGCTGTCATTCTTCTCGTTTCACCACAATATGAAATGGTGGAATATTTAATAGGACTTCCAAGGGAACTATTGGAGTTGACGCCATAGCTTATACCAATGTAGGCCAATCTGTGATATTTTTTGTTTTCCTTGTAGTTTGTTTAACCTTGGGCCACCAGCCACATAAAGAAGCTTAGGTCTTATTATCGAGGTAAAAATCTAATGTAGTATGAAGTTTCCATCCTATCTTGGACATTGCCATATCATTTAGATTTCTTCTCCTGATAAAAGTATAGGTGTAAGTAAATACTTTAGAATAAATCACAGACTTCTAAATATGTATACAGGGTGTTCCTAAATAAGTATCGCAACGGAAAACTGTAAATTCCTCTTGAAAAAAGAAACATTTTTTTCCTCTTCCATTTTTCTCTCCGGGCTTTCTTTTTCGAGATACACGGTGTCAAAACTTTAATTTTTTTTTAGTTTTTCGCCAATATCTTAACGTTAGCAAAAATGTTTGCTTTTGTTCATAAAAACTCATTTTTCTTGAAAACGGTTGACTTTAGAGCAATGAACCAAGAGAACTCTTATTGTGTAAAATTAATTGGCGCTTTAGAATTTGCTGTCAAAAGTCAATTTTCCCAGTGGCGTAAAATTTAGGGGGGGAAAAACCCTTACGATACCTTAAAATCTCCACCACTGGCACGTCCAATGAATTCGAGAAGGGTGCGAAAAAGTAGCTATTAATAGTGGTAATGTGTGTACAAAAGCTCAGTCCTGTAGTTCAAACGATTCCTAAGATATTGGCGAAAAACTAAAAAAAAATTAAAGTTTTGACACCGTGTATCTCGAAAACGAAAGCCCGGAGAGAAAAATGGAAGAGGAAAAAAATGTTTCTTTTTTCAAGAGGAATTTACAGTTTTCCGTTGCGACACTTATTTAGGAACACCCTGTATAGACACATTTACTTACTAATTTTCTATGGACGACAATTAAGTACAATCTAAGTGCCATTTTGCAATATTGCCTGGATTATTTAAGCGACCACAAAACACTTTTCTGTAGTAAATTTTTTTTAAATGGTTTAATCCTCTATAACCGGACAATTTCTAAAAATGTAGATACATTATTCCTTCATTATATGACATTAGAAGTGTAATGAAAATTATTTTGTGGCCTGTCCGCTTTACTCATTTGAACATTTGGCAACATAGTTTCGGCCATCTTCATTCAATTCATTCATAACAATTCATATTTATGCTTGATGTTGGTAAGTTGTAGTGGTATTGGAAGTGGAGTGTAATTTTTATACTATTACCACTTACTGCTTTTGATGTTTAAAAGAATAAAATATGATAATTTTAATATTATTAATAAGTAGGTAAATGATGTTAAAAAGTCTATCATTTTTCAGCGTCCCCTGATGCAACGATTCGAGTGTGGAATGTACCCACTTCTCAGACTACTCTACTTCTGCGATGTCACGATGGTCCTGTAACTGGATTATCTCTGCATCCAACAGGAGACTATGTTCTTTCCACATCTGAAGATCAACATTGGGCTTTTTCAGACATTAGGACAGGTCGATTGCTAACGAAGGTTACGGACAATTCAAATGTTCCTCTTACAACAGCCCAGCTACATCCCGATGGTCTCATTTTTGGTACTGGAACTGGAGATTCTCAAGTTAAAATTTGGGATTTAAAAGAACAAAGCAATGTGGCAAACTTCACAGGTAATAGATATCCTTTAAATTTAGTTTACTATTGTGAAAGTAAATAATCTCTTTAATTTTAGGACATTCGGGAGCAATCACTACCATTTCCTTCTCCGAAAATGGTTACTATTTAGCCACAGCAGCTGATGACGCATGTGTGAAACTGTGGGATTTACGTAAATTGAGAAACTTTAGAACTTTACAACTTGACGAAGGTTATCAGATTAAGGATTTGTGTTTTGACCAAAGTGGTACTTATTTAGCAGTTGCTGGATCTGATGTTAGGTATGTGGATATTTTCTCTTGTTAGTCCATATATATTAAAAGCTGTAGGTTACTCTCCCTGCGTTACTTGGCCGCGAAAAGTGACGACTTGCCATATCAAAGGCTTTCATCGCGAGGCGTGAAGCCCTTCCTTTATCCCAACATATTCCGAAGGCGATCTGTTCGTGCCTTCTATGTAAAATTTCCACTTTAAAAAGAGTATTCGCCAAAAATTGACTTTTTTCGGTGGGAGAAAGATACCCAAAGTATATCCGATATTTAGACAGAGATGGAGACATACGTCAGTAAAGACGTCAAAATAAATTTTGTCATTTGCCACATTTTCCCTGCTGATTGGGTCACAGTGAGTCGTTATTTTGCCGTTCGACATTGGTTCCGATCTTTTAGAGACGCGACTTTGGCCGATAAAGCTTGATTCAAACATTTTCTTCAATTTTGTGTTTACATTGACGAAGATCCAAGGTTTCAAATAGCCCATGCAGGCTCCACCCAGCGTTAGATCGCTGTAGCTCATTTTGTAAACTCGTGTCGAAGGTCCGGAGTACAAATGCGGGGCGGGTCGCATTGTTTCTTTTTTTTTTTTAATTATGCAGGGTGGGCCATTAGTGTGAGAAAGTAAAATAACTCATTTGTTATAAATAGTACAGAAAAAAAAATTATATAAAAGTTGTACAGAATCAGAAAAGACAAAATTTATTTGAAACATACAAAGCGATTAGTAAAAACGGGACATGCCAAATATTACATTTTTTAAATGGAACACCCTGTATATTTTTAAACATAGATTTCTGAGAAAATTCTATATATGGCAATATAAACAGTTTAACATTTTAGTGCGCGGTTGCCAAGTTATGTAGAAAATTCTTCGAATTTTGGAAAAAACGACCTCGAAGAAGTTGTATTAACTTTCAACTACTAACACTTGGAGCAAAAATATTTGACAGATTTATAGACAAATGTTAGGCAAAGACTCCTATATTAGCTAATATCGATATTTTATACAGGGCATTTTTTACAATACGAACATTTTTAAAAAGTTTTCTTTCTGATTTTCTAAAATTTTTCTAATGGAACACCCTGTATTTTATTGTTTTATTTTATCCACATACAGTGGTGGCGCGTGAACATTAATTGAATGTGTTCTGCTTAGGGATGTTACATTTGTTGAATTGAATTCCGGGATATTAAGTGCCCGGAGCCTGTAAACGGCGCCACAGGCGAAAATTTTTAAAATTTTCAAGGTCACGCGTTTTCCTGGCACTTCTGAATTTCAAGGAACAATCCATTTATACAAAAATACTGATTTTCACAAGAACGATTTTTGAAATTGATACCTTTTTGAAATATCTATTAACGAATTACCTACTGACTGATAAATAAATTGGAATAAACTAAATATATTTTATTAAATTATTGAATATTGTTTATAAACAAAAAAATCGTTTGTGAAGTTTACCAACGATTCAACGAATTTTAATTTTCCTCGCCGTGTTATGATTTTTTCTTTATCTTTCTTTATACAATGTACCTATTATATTCTGGGAGTTATATGTGCAAATCCGGAATCCGGGACCATACAGCTAATTCCCGGTACAATCACAGAAAATCCCGGTCATACCCATGTGGCTAGATGTTCTTCTAATATGTCGTCAAGATCTGCACTAAAATTTATGAGTCCATGAAACACATCATGGTTGTCCGAATTTTCTGTCTCGCCGTATCCGCTTCTTATGTTTATTTACCTAATGACTTAAATGATTTAAATCTTTCACACCGTATATTGTCCATGCTTTATCCCCACCGAAAAGTAAGCACGGAAAACAAAACAGTGTATTTTTTACATCACACCCGCACACCCACTGCTTTTGTGTATACATTATTGTTAAATTGTCTTTTATAACTTTTATTTCGGCTTGTTCCACTAACTTCAATATTTAATCGTGGTGTTGGCCCACCTAATTCTTTTATTTTTAGTTTATCCTCATAAGGCAGAGAATCAAATAAAGTTTTTTGTAAAAACGAAACGCTATTCATTTTAATAACTATAATATCCGTAGACGCTTAAATGAGAATGTTCACATGTGCCGCTCAGAAATAAACCACCACACGCCACGTACAAAATATTACTGCATTTACTTTACTGCAGCAGTGGCTGTCGTTGTTGCAGCCACAAAAGCCCATATAAAAGTGTACTGGGTGACGTGCCTGATTAGCCAATAGAAACAAAGGACGCATCTAACTGTTTGCTGTGCACACATTTTTTATACGAGGTTGCATATATTAAGAAGCGTAGCTCGCGTCGTAATAAATAATATAAGCTCTTAGATTTATTTTAGCGCGAGTACATTTGGATTCTTTAAATATTTTGTTGATATTTAATATGATTAAATACATAAAATTTTGTGTTCTGCAGCTCCGCAGCTCTTATGGTACAACCGCCACTGTTCACATATCAGTCCACTTCAACTTTTATTAAGTATGTTCTACACCTAAAGTTGTTAGTTTTTAAGATATAGCAACATTTCTGGAAAAATCTAATTTTTATTATTTTCGGTCGCAAGAAATGGCTTTGGGAAAAACTGTCACATTGTGTCAACTTGTCAGTTCATAATTTATCATTCCATTTTGGGTTAATTTTATTATTTAATATTTATTTGTGGTATTCTATAAAATAATAACTATTTTTTTTCAGAACTGGCTATATCTTAAAAACTAACAATTTTAGGTACAGATCATGCTTAATAAAAGTTGAAGTGGACCGATATGTGAATAAAATAGAACAATAAAATACAGGTTGTTCGATTTGAAAAATTTTAGAAAATCAAATTTAAACTTTCTATATTCGATATTTTAAAAAATGTCCTGTATAAAATATCAATATTAGCTAATATAGGAGCCTTTGTCTAACATTTGCCTATAACTCTGTCTAATTATTTTGTTCCAAGTGTTAGTAGCGGAAAGTTAATACAGCTTCTTCGAGGTCATGCTTTTTTTCAAAATTCGAAGAATTTTCTACATAACTTAGCAACCCCACACTAAAATGATAAACTGTTTATATTGCCATATACATATATAAATATCTCGAAAATCTATATGTTTAAAAATATACAGGGTGTTCCATTTAAAAAATGTAATCTTTGGCGTGTCCCATTTTTACTCATCACCCTGCATGTTTCAAATTAATTTTGTAGTTTAGGTTTCTTGATTCTGTACAACTTTATATAAACTTTTTTTCTGTATTATGAGGGAGTTATTTTACTTTCTCACACTAATGGCCCACCCTGTATATACTAACCCACAGAGAACGCACCGTGGCCCGAGGCCTGAAGGCTCGAGAGAAAGGTCAAGTCCTTGCCTTGCCTACCTTTCTAAATATTGTAGGCTGTACATGGCATTATACCATATATCAGGTCTGTAATGTTTTATATGAAAATGTGGTCTCCAATGCACACTAGATGTGGCATCCTCAACATATTATAGTCCAATCAAATTATATTTTTACGTGCCAAAATTTAGTTCAATAAACAGACATGTAAAGATTAGGAAAAATTCTGTAGAACTACTTTCAAGAAGTGGATCTTATTTGTGGAAGGGCAAAATGGGCGGTGACTATTAGACGCATTCATTATAGCCATCTTTCTCGATCGCACGGATTTCTATGACTTTCTTTATCGCTCTCACGTAACGGCCGATGAACCATGGGGACTTTCCGACCCTGTATACATATATGTATTAGTTTACACTTTTCACTTTTTTTATTTTTCTTACTTCCAAAATAACTCCAAAATTGTTACACAAAATACGACACGCAACAGATTCTTCGCTATCAGCAAACAAACTGACTGCCGACTATGCGCGTACGCGCGAAGCGATTTAGTCTTTTCTTGTCATCGTTTAAATTTGGCCGTTTGGATTAACGTGTGTTCAGATTAAAGAGATTGCACTGTATTCAAATGCTCATAACTTCTTGAGGGGCTGAAATTAAAATTTTAATTGATGAAAGCTACTCTAAATAGATAATAAATAATGACAGGAAAATCAGGAAAATTAAAAAGGGTCGGGTCACGACTTCAATGATTTGACATGGAATGCCCCATATGTTCATTGTTTTTCATTTTGAATTATTAGAAAGATTCTCATGTTTTATGTGATAGTATGAATGAACGTGCTTCTATCTTAATAATCAAGAGTTACTGATTTATCACAATCATGTTAAAAAAAATTGTTTTATAAGAAATATGTGTTTTAATAATCTTTGATGTGAATAGCATCTTCAGAGTATATATTTTTTTTTACAGAATTTACTTATGTAAACAATGGCAGAAGCTTAAAGTATTCAACGATCATACAGCTACTGCAACTGGTGTAAGATTTGGTAAACATGCACGCTTTATTGCCTCAACTTCAATGGATAGAACTTTAAAATTATATGGTTTAGAGTAAACAATTTGTATCTTGTGTGAAGATAATCTGTACATTAATTTTCCCAGATATATTTTTTTCCAAATCAGTTTTACTTAGTGATAATTTTGTGTTAATAAAACATCTACATACAATTTTTATTTTTTTACCCTTCCTCTTTAATCTCAGGTTAATAGACATAATAATCATACGTAAAAGATTTGTTTTGTTTGTAGAAGATAAAGTAATATTCATAAATCGATGATTAAACAAATAATTATTACACAAAAAAGCAAGCTTTTGTTGCATAATAGTTATCGTTATTTCTACATTAACTTACTATTAAATACAATTTGAAAAATAGCAATAATTATTAATAAATTTACAATTTTCAAATGTGCAGGATGTTTGTTAAAGATATTTAACCACTAAACTCTGCAATAAAAATTAATGGGGGTACATACAAAATTTGTGGATAGACGTTTTGTTTCCAAGATGCATAGTGCTGAAATTAAAAAAAAATGGTTTATGTCTTAGTCCCACATTGGAAATCTACACAGCAATTATTTTCTAATTTTACATGAATAATATTATGAACCACTTATCACGTACAGGGAACATTTTCTTAAATTATAAAATAAAAAAAACTTATTTAGGACTTTAAGATATCTGTCCGAAACTAATTTGTGACCCAGGTTTATTTCATAATTTTTTTACAGGTGGCAAAATCTTCAAATAGAGAAAACCTCAGATATTTTACTGCAAAATATTTCTTATTTCATAACTAAAATATACCATTTTTAAGGGGTAAAGCCACTCTATCGATTTTTTGGATAAATAGTTTAAACAATGTTTTATTGTGTGAAGAATAAAGGAAAAAAGTTTTAGGTGGAGCAAAAACCAGGAACGCGAGTTTTTTTGAGGTGAAGCGCAATCACTCGCAGCATGCTACAGGAATGCTTATCGTAATTCGTGAGAATGCGCGCGATTGCTATTATAGAGGCCAGCTTGAGTCTCCGATTAAACCAAAAAGAGGAGGATGAACAAAATGTCAACATAGCCAGCCAATTATATGTCGCAGGCATCGTTGATTGAAGACATACATATAACGAAATTTTTACACTGAATAGCTGAATACACACGCAAAGACATATTGGAGCGACAAATTGTACCAAATAATCGTCAATTAAATCGTTAAGAAAAATCTTTCAGACAAATTTTAGAGAGGACACTAACGCTAAGTTTTATTGAATCAAATTATGGTACAAAGTTTATCCGACTGTTTATTTGTTACATCTGTGTCATTCACAAAGATTTATCTCTAAATTTGGTAAGATTATTCTGTCATCGTTGATCTTTCGGAAGTCCAAAAAATCAGAGCAATTTATTTCTTACTCGTAAGTATAGTTTGCTATGAAAACATGAACAAAAACGACTAAACTCGTTTTATTACTTGGAATGATGGGTTATGGTGAGTATAAAACGACGCAGAAGAAATAGAAAGCGAACAAAGTGGGTTAAAACATGATTATTGAGGAGAGAATACAATACGCCTCTAATTCCTTATAACTCTCGTTTTTAATATTTTTATTTTTTTATTCTTGTGAGGTTGTTTTCCATAAACACGGGTGATTACGATATAAATCGATCAGTCCACTAATAAATTCTTTTGAAATTGTAGTATATTCTGAACTCAAGACGGAAATTAAGCGACTTTAGATATCGCGCAGATATTTCCTCCAACATGTACTAACATGCTTTACAAAATAATTCATGACAGATTTATCAGCCGTTTAATCACTGTTAGTGTACGTGACAAAATAATCGCTCCAAATTATTTGGCAGCAATTTAACCGTCAAAATATTGGTATTTTTAAATTTTTCTTGATGACCCAAACTAGCAGTTTTGTCTTTACAATTTATGCAATTCAACGATAAATCGGCCAAATCGGTTGATAAAACTGCTCGTGTATATTCAGCTATAGTCAGCAAAAACTTTAAAAGCATTTTTTCGAGAAACTACTTTTTTTACGGGACAGAAACATAACTTAAAAAGTTTTAAACAAATCGACTGGAAATTCAGATTTTCACAATAACATGACTCAGGGAACATTACAGAGATTTTTCGATTGATTACCAATTTTCATTGTTATTAACAATTTAATGCAAAATTTTTTGTCTTTTTTCGATACTTTTTTTTTATGTTCACAGTCAATAATTATTAATATTTTTTAATTTGCCTACGATGTTCCCTAGCTTTTAGTAAGTATATAATATCAGAATTTTTTTTTTGTTCCAAGACCTTCCGTTAATACGAAACCTTTCCGTCCATACAGTCCTCTGAAGAACATGCCATATGTCTAATTCAGCAATTCAGCCATATCTCCCTTACCATTAGAAGGAGATACCTTATTGTATCAATGTAATCTTGAAAAAGTGTTTTATTCAAACATAAAGTAATAAGAGTTCCATTTTAAAAATTTTGGGTTTTGTTTATCACACTTTTTAAAAACACTGTACAAAATTTAATATTACATATGATACTTCTTGTTAATAGACTTCATAATTTAATTTTTTTTCTAAACTTAAAAACCAAAAAGTTAAAATAGGAAATGAAAATCACTTTGTCTTGAAAATGGTGTACCTATTTAATGGATATGAAATGAGATGGTATTCTTCATATTTTAGTCAGTGGCAAAACTTATTTAAAAAGGGGTCCTCTGTAATCATATTTACAAATCAATGGATTTTCTAGTTCAATTTCTATTTCAATTTGGAAACGAAGTAAGTATCTTCAATTCTCTTCAGTTACATCTGACATTCTACCAAATCCTTCATTACTTTGTCCTTCCATCTTCGGTTTTACTTCCAAAACATTTTTGGGAGGTTTGTTCTATTTTCCACAAATATTTGAAAATAATAATAATTCAGATATCATGGGATCTATTTTTAAGAAAAATTTATAACCACATCTCGATATCTTGATTTCTTTAGGAGATACCTACAGGTCGATTTTCGATTTTAGTCATTACAATTTTATTCGCCGATAAAACGCCGGTCGTGTGCTCTGCTACTTAAAATGACATTAAACACATTAGATAAGTTTTATATTGAGTTTTATAACTTTTATAGTTCTCGCAGGAGGCGAGTATAATAACCAACGCACTAATGTCTAGAGACAGCCAATTCACTATTCTTATGCTGCGCCTTTCTTATGTGACGAAGGCAAGAAATGACTACAATAATAATTTTTACGATTTAGGTCTTTTTCCTACTTTTTACATAACAAACCTAACCTGACAACGTATCATTTATTTTTTTTTATTAAGAATAAAAAAAAAACCCTAAAGTGGATTGGCTGTCTCTAGACAATAGGTAATAGGTATTTAATAATTCAAGCCTGAACCTTGTTTTCCATATCCAAAGTTTATAAATATATTTCTTCTGAATACATATTATATAGATTATTTATGCATATTAATAATAGAGCCAAACAATTTTACTTTTTACCTATTCAATAATCAGATATTTTTAATAAACGATTGCAAAATGTTAACAGTTAGTGCGTATAACGAGTTTTAATTATTTGTAAACAAAACATCACTAGGATTTCGATTTTTTTTTTACATTTTTCAGTATCAACATTTTCAGTTATATCAATCATCATTAATCAATTAATCATTCTATTACATAGCTACATCAGTATTACTTTTATAGTTTTTACTTTTCTAATTTAAATTTCGCTTCATAAATGTGATTGGCTGGGTTTGTGTATCTTTTTGACGGTTGACGTGGTATGAGCGCCCTCTTAAGCACATAGTAGAAATTTACGAAAGTCTGAAAACACAGGTCAGTTCAGTGAAGTTCGATAAAGCTTTTGAAAATTTGTAAGTCGTTATACAGTTTTTCACATGTAAAAAAAATTACAGTTTCATATTATACTTTAATTATTTCATTAGGTGTGAAACAGTGTGTTTACAAACAAATAAAAACGACGATATCGGCGAATTCCACCGGACTCGGGTCTATAATGGCAGCCAGCGATACTGCAGGCGACGATTCTTTGTATCCTATCGCAGTTTTAATTGATGAACTAAAAAATGATGACGTACAGGTAATTTCAGGTTAACTTTACATTAAGAAAACAGATAATCATAAAAGTATCTTCTCAAGTTTAATAAACATAAAGTGGGTTTAACTACCTTTTCTTTGGAAGCTTAAAAAAAATGACATCATTCTGTCAAACATGTATTAAAAAATTGGATTTTTGTTAAAAATTATTGTGTATGAATAAAAAATAAGTGCAAACATTGTCATCAACATTTACAAATTGTTTACCCATATAAGTAAAATTTATCATTATTGTATATATATTTTTGTTTTGAATTTATAGTAAATATAAAAAAATTGAATTTCTTAAAGAGAATAATATAAGCAGTTATTATAACATATCTATTTTTGTTAGTTTTTGTTTATTATTTTGATAATTCTATAAAAATTTAGTTTTATGAAGTGTAAAGAGACCTGCTCACAGTTCACTTTTAATACGGTGTTAATATTAACAATTTAACTAGGTTATACTACGATTCCCCATATTTTAATTTAAAGTTTTTGAAACAGTGATTCACAAAAGCAGCAAATGTTACAACAGAAATTAAAGTAATTTGTAATATTCTGGGAATCAATTTTGATGAATTTTATCTAAAATAAAATGTATAAAAACACTTTTTTTATATAATTGCATAAATGTTATCAACATCCGCCCTACTTTTATATCTTTTTCAAAGATTAATAAGATTATCTCTATATGTCTTTAGATATAATAATTTTTTCTTTGATTTTACGTTGATTTCTTTGACACTATATAAACAACCGTATATTTGGTATAAATTGTGAGTTCATGAGAGGCAAAAGTTAAACTAAGCGAAACTTTTTTGTTTCAACTATATAGTTGTTTAATTTGAATTTTAATAAACTACTTATATGCTTTCATTATATGTTTGATTTTAAGCTTTAAATTATTATTTAATAATTATTAATTTCAGTAATAATGTAAACCGAGATGTAAACTGATTAGTAAGAAGAGTTATTCTGAATTTGTATATTAGATTTTTCTTGAACTTTTGTTAGTTTTCATATTAAATTCTTAAGATATCTTAGTAGCTTGTATACATCATATGTAACCTGTTTACTTCACATTATATGCAGTTAGTTAAGGTAAGGAAAGTGAAAAATCTCGTTTTAAATAATGCTCATACAATTTTTATTTTCATTACTATGTAAATTTTAATACATTACTTAGGCAAAAAATAAGAATGTAGATTAATGAGCATGAGCAGATTTTTTAGTAATTATTTATACTCGTATGTTCTCTTAAGTGGCATATATTATATATCAGTCTTAGAGAAAAGAAGCATTTCCAATTTTATTAAATTTCAATACGGAAATGTAACCTGTTTTTTTATCTTTGTTGTGTATCCAACATCTTAAATTCAAAAGATTTAAATGTACTAGGACTGTGAATTAATTTTGAGGGATTTTTGTGTAAATTCAAAGCATTATTGTGAAAAATTTTGTTGATAACCTCTTTATTAATCATAATACAATCAATATTTTTTAAATAAGTTATAAGAATAAAAAAAACCTAGACTTCAATATTATACTAGGTCTGTCAATTAATTTTGTGCGATTTTTTTGTGAATTCAAGATTTTATTGTAAAAAATTGTCTACATTATTATTTTTCAAAGTGTTGTCTATCACTAGCCACCACTTTTTCTCATCTTTTGATACTATCCACCAATCGACCCATTTTTTGGCATCTTCATAAGAATAGAAGTGCTGCTCAGCCAGGCCATGTGCCATTTATCGGACCAGGTTATAATCGGAAGGGGCAATATGTGGTGAATATAGTGGGTGGGGTAGGACTTCCCATTTAAACAATTTGAAGTAAGTTTTCCAGTACATGATAATGCTCGGCCACATTTTGCAATACTGGGATCTTGTCATGCTGCAAAATGACTATGTGTTTCTGCTCATATAGCGGCTGTTTTTCCTTCAATGCTCGGCTCAAACGTATCAAATAGCTATCTTCCATAGTGGTTTCGTTCAGTCTGAGCAGCTTATAATAAACTACACCCAGCTGATCCCACCCGATGCAGAGCAGAAGTTTGGAACCATGGATATTCGGCACCCAATTTCCTTGCTTTAGAGTCATACCGAGTGTACTTACACGTGTGGAAACTGTTGTGTGATCAACCTTCAACGATTCAGCAAGTTCATCTTGCGTTGGACATGAATCTTGATCGAGTAATGCTTCAAAGTCCTCATCCTTGAAGTTTTTCAATTGACCTAGACGTTCTCTGTCAACCGTATCGAAATCACCACTTCTAAATGACGAAACCAATACACACACGTTTTTATTGATGGAATATGTTCACCATAAGATTCCAACAGCACTTGATCAAATTCAACAGCACTTTTGTTTGAATTAAACAGGAAAAGTAAAACTTCCTGTAAATGATGTTTTGTTGGCATCTTTGGAGCTGAGAAAAAATATGTTGTTTACAGTTCAGCAAACACATAATAAAAAGTAAAGCCTAATGACAGAGTATTGACATAAATATAGTTACAGAGCTCTTCGATGCGAGGGATTTACAGTAGATGCGATAGCATAACTTTAGCTATCTATTGTAAATCCCTGAAAAATAAGTCACAGACCTAGTATATAAACAGTAAAAGAAAAAAACATTGTGAACTTTTAATAATCGACATAGTTTCAAACTTTTAATGTTAAATATTCCTTTTTTTTAATAAATTAATCCCATAATAAAGATATTGTCTCGTGTACTAAAGCTTAACCTTATTAAAATGGTTCTACTGTCACAGCAAACTTTGATTTTCTGAACTAATTCGAATATAATCACTTCACATTGTGAAATAATATACATTACAAATTAACAATACTGTGAAAGATTATCCAGGTTATTTTTTTGAAATCTGAAATAAATATATAATTGAACAAATGTATGTAATCTGTAATAATAATATTCATAATTATTGGATGTAATTACATACAATAAAAAATTGTGTAATACACCTACATAAATTTATCAATTTTTTTGATTGTGTAAAAATCAATATAAAATGTAAAACAAATGGTAATGTTCTGAAATAATAAATCTTATTATCAAAACCAAGAAAATTATTCAATGACAAATTGTCCACTGCTGTTAAATAAAGTTTCACGTTTTGTGATACTAATTAATAAGCCTATTAAATTTAACTGAGATACATTTAAGTTTATGGATTACTTGGGCTTGCCTAAGACCTTTGAAAGCAACTTTTTAGTCACAAAAAATTTTCTCATGGCTGTCTGAAATTTTTCGTTAATTTATTTGCAATAAAGTTTGCTGGTACTCATTAACATTGAAGTAAGCTAAATGCTACAAGTTGTATAACGTAAAATTAATCATTCACAAAGAAATATTTTAATACATTTTTTCAACATTTATACAATTAGAACTTTGGTCATTATAAGTTGTTATATGCATATAAAGTCTATACTAATGGATGGTAATAATAGATTTGTCAAATACAAGAAACTAGAATTATTATCTTGCATTATATGTATATGTTGTATATCTTTTGAAATGACAAAGTTAAAGATACCTATCTTTGTGATTTTATCTTTGAATTAGCAATTATGTACTGATTGTCAATTTCAGTTCCCATTGACATATTTTGGATTTTTAGATATTTGATAAATTATATATGGTAACAATAATTTTATAGCACTTTTTCTTCTATGAAGAGTGACATTAAGATAATTCTATGAAAAATTTTGCAGCACATTTAACATTTAATGTAAAGTACCAGCATCATTAATTTCCTAATTTATTCTTTAATTTTGAAATAAAATACACAAAATGTAGAAAATGCCTTTACATTGTTTTAGTTACGCCTCAATTCTATTAAGAAACTCTCCACCATTGCCTTGGCCCTGGGAGTAGAACGGACGAGAAAAGAATTAATACCTTTTTTGACAGAAACAATTTATGATGAAGATGAAGTTTTACTAGCTTTAGCAGAACAATTGGGGACATTTGTAACATTAGTTGGGGGCCCTGAATATGCCTATTGCCTTTTGCCACCATTGGAAAGTTTGGCGACTGTGGAGGAGACTGTTGTGCGCGATAAAGCAGTTGAATCTCTTAGAGCGATGGCTCAGCAGCACAGTTCCGCTGATCTAGAAACACACTTTGTTCCCCTAGTACAGAGACTGGCTGCTGGAGATTGGTTTACATCTAGAACATCAGCTTGTGGATTATTTTCTGTAAGTGTGTTACACTTAATTGTTAATTGTTCCCTCTTAAACAAATATTCTGACTTTATGGAATTATTTTCCAGTGTTGACATGTTATATGGAATGGTATAATGTCAATTTGCCAAACTTAAAATTTGGAATTAGGTGGTCAAAATAAGAAAATCAATTCCGTGATGGAATATTCTGAAATTCTTTTTTATTTGAGTGCCTCAAATTCTACATGCTCCTCGAGAATAGCTCTAGCGTAGCTATTTTGTACTATTTACGAAAAAAATATTTTTTGAACACAAAGACATGGTTAATAACATCCATAAATATTATTATCCTATTAATTTTTCTTCCATTAAAAAAAATTGCAAAATTACACTATTTTAGAATCTTATAATGCTATTGCCTCTTAAGTACGTTTCATCCAATTCATCTACGTGCTGTAATATTGCCTCATTCTCTTGAATCTATTACAAGTTTCGTTAATTCACATCTTCGTTGGTTGAAATTACCCCACAAAAGAAAAATCGAAAGGGGCGAGATCAGGGAAATAAGGCTAACTACCATGGCCTATCCAGCTATTGGGAAAAGTAACATTTAAAAAATCATAAACACCCCGAAAAAATGAGCCAAATACCCACATATTCTTCATTTTTAAATTTTAGCTGGCTAAATTAATCTCATTTTCGCCAAAACCAAAAATTCCGTAATATATCTAGATTGCTCTTATTTGGTAGACAAGCAAAAGTTACCAAAATAAACTTAATTTTGTAAATTTATAAAAATGTTTTCCGTTGGGCAATAAATAATGTAGGAAATGGTGGTTATAGAGAAATATAAACTGATATAGAGTTACATTTTCGTAACTGTAAAAATTTTCAAAACTGCTTAGAAAGCCTGGGATATATTTTTTTTGTGAAAATTTGATATACATTCTATCAAAAGAATATTTGGAATATGTCAATAAAACAATATACGATGAAAGTCGGTTATAACGACCTTCAAGGGTACGTTTATCTACGGTTGTTATAACCGATAGACGTAAAAAGCAATTACATATATTTATTTAAAATTTTTATTGAAAAAATGAGAAAGTTACAAGTCTTGTATGTATATGTATTGCTTTGTGTTATCATCTCGTGCGCTTCATTTTCAGTGAATTGTTTTCGAATAGAGACTATTTTATTTCTATCCCTTCACATTCTTAAAATCGTAGTGTGACACGTAACATTTATTTGCTATGCTTGCATGAGTTTCTCCGATTTCTAGTCTCCATATTGTTCTCTTCAGCACAAGAAATTCCGTTGGTAGCACAAAATTTTAGGCAAACTCTTTATTCAACAACATTATCCATTGTAAAAATCACGAAACATACTTTAGATAACAGATAACAAAATTAACAGCTATAAACAAAACTTGACAGATCGCACTCAAACTTCATATTGGAGTAGGGTACAGTGCTGGCGTTCATTAGGGCGTCGGGTAGGTTCGAGGAGGGTCAGAAGCAGAGAGTGGTTAGGTGATGGGACGGCGGGGTAGGCAAAAAGGGCCCACTCGTGGCCTAATTGCCAGGCTGAGGCCACCCCTTCACTACTACTAATAAACTAGGGTACAGTGCTACCACCTTTTCATCAAATATGAAATTTAAATCTATTTCACGTGGATTTTTTAAATGAAAAATTCTTGATACTTTTTTGACAGAATGTACACCTTGTAGTAGGGGAGCCCACTATGCTAAAAAGGGATTTACTCGAGCATCGTGAGGACCTATTGGATTTTGAAGAATAGATGGTAGAAAGAAAAAATAGGTCATATGATATACCCTGTCACCGTCACCAAATTGTTTTTTATTTTTTTTATGTTAGATTAAGTGTGTGACGAATCCTATACATGTATACTGTCTTAATGGAAAATATATCATTATTATTATTAAAATGAAAAACAATTTTTTTTTTCAGAGAAAAAAGGGTAGTTTTGAAAAAAAAACTGTTTTTTAAGAGATTACAGACCGCACAAAAATTAATTACAAAGTCTCAAAGAACGATATGAATCTGGATCGAAATCTGGTTTGGGTCAACTTTAATTTTAATTTTAATTTAATTAAAAGCTGATGAACAGAAGCATATGACAGAAAAGCCGAATCGTGCTGGAAACAATTGGATTTTGTCTTCTTCAATGTCCGGAAGGTTTTCAAAAAAAAAATAAAAATACGAAATTTTTTTGAAAATTTTTCGAAAAATATATTTTTTTAATCAATGTAAAAGTTATTTGCGATAAAAATGTGAGAAAACTTCAAACATTTTTTTTTCCATTTTAATCATGATTATGAACTGTTTAAGCTCAAAAAACGTGACCCGTTAATTTTTTTGAAAAGTTTGACTGTTTGAAACAAACAAACGGTTCGCTAGATCGAGATGAAACTTCACAGGATTCTTCTGGGCATATCGAACTGTAAACGTCATGCTTAACATTAGTCATTTCGTGAATATTTCTAATTTAGCCGTCAATTTTCTAAAAAAAACATAAATTACCCTTTTTTTCCTGTTTTTTTAAATTCGTGTAAAAGACGAAAAAAAAAATTCCGAAAAGTTGCTGCAGCATGTTATAGGACATTTATTACAGTTTTCAAAACTGCTCTTCAGTTCTCTGTACGACCATTTGTCGCCGAGATATCGATTATTGAAGACAAAAGGATCCCTTTCCATTAAAAGTCCGATATTTCGATGAATAATGGTCTTATCGAAATTAAAAAAAAAGAAATTAAAGCTGAATAAACAAGCTATCTGGTCCATGCAATGGCTGAGCTGAAAAAATTTTTTTTTCCAAGTCCGTGAACTCGGAAAAAAAATATCAAAATTTGCAAAATTTTTGTCGCGCTATTTCTTAGAATTGCATGATAACCGTAACTCCTAAATATTTTCGACTGAAAGAACTAAAAACTAGAATCTTAGAGCTTCAAAATGCTTTTTTAATTCTCGATACGACCATTTTTCACTTAAATACAGTCTGTTAAAAATCACGGAACAATTTCGGAAATTCTTTTGACCCTTTAATTGTTTGGTTTAGTGTATAACATAGTGAATTAATAAAAGAAAATATTTCAAAATATAAGTAGGTATTATATGTCTCGATAACTATAATTGAATGGTTTTAATTATTCACCTAATTATTTACTATACGTTAATAATAATAATAATAATAATAGTGTTTATTACTTCAGAACTGTTATTAGTTTACAATTATTTATGAAGCTAAAAAGTGTATTTTTAATGGGGGAAACGAAGTTCATGACCTTGATTCAAAGTATACTAGATTTTCCTGTTAAATTCGATTTACTATGAATAGTAAGTACTTGTGATAGAAAAGAGAGTTACAAATTTTTGTGCCTCTGATAACTTTAATAATGATTTCATTACCTAAGTTACTGAGTTCTTAAAAAAATTGTTTAGATCTATTTGGAAGTAGGCAGCTACAAAAAAGGATAAAGATTATCCAAACATAAGGTGAATAATGCAATTTTCAAATACATATATTAAAAAAAAATTAGTAGTAGAAAAATAATTATTAGACGTTAATGGAAGTTAACAACAATTATTTATTTTTTAATTATTGATTTCCATCTATTGCATTAATTAAATATGAATCGTTAATGTACATACAACCCTTATTACTTCAGAATTGATAAGTTTAATCATCATGCCAGGAGTTGAGAGTCCCATAGCTAAATGGTATGATGGCCGATGTGTCTTCATTACTGGTGCTTCCGGTTTTATGGGAAAAGTATTGGTAGAGAAGCTGTTATATTCTTGTACAGGAATAAAAACCGTATACATTTTATTGAGAAATAAAAGAGGAAAGACTCCGCAGCAAAGATTAGAGATTATGTGGAATTTGCCTGTAAGTATGTTTATGTAAGATTTCTGTTGCATTTTATACAGAGCGATGGTTAAGCGTTACCCAGAGTTCTTTTTTGTATACTGTGGTGACACAAATTAGAAAAAAGTTGCGCCTTATCAGGGCCATTAAAATAAACCAAACAGATCAAAGATATCTGAAGCCGTTCCTGAAATATTGTGAANGGGATTTTATTAAAAGGCAACAGAAGATATTCTGAAACTTTTAGTTTGAAGAAATAGTAAAATACCGCAAAATTGATGTGTTTAATAATTGGAAAATATGATTTTATAAGTTTTAATTTACAAATAATAAAACAAACATTAAAATTTATTACAGGTATGCTATCCAAGAGTATCTGCAACAATGAAGGCTGACCTAAGGTCTCATTTTCGTGCGCTCTGTCAGGATGATACACCAATGGTTCGTAGGGCTGCTGCTACAAAATTGGGTGAATTGGCCCAAGTTGTAGAATTGGAATATTTGAAATCAGACTTGATCCCCATGTTTGTTAATTTGGCTCAAGACGAACAGGTATAATATAAAATATTGTTTATGTCACGTCTGATAGAATAAGTAATGTTGCTTTATAGGATTCAGTACGACTTTTGGCGGTAGAGGCATGTGTCAGCATCGCGACTCTTTTGCCACAGGAGGATGTAGAACAGCTTGTAATGCCTACTCTACGTCAATGTACAGGTAAGATGTCTTTAATAATTTCAATTGTGATAATTGTTAAATTTTTACTAATACTGGGTGCTCCATTTTGATCTGTATCATAGGGATATCCATTATCATACTTAGGTAAAATGTAAAACAAGATCATACTTGATTGAATGAATTGATGATTGAATGAAGAAAGAACTTACAGGTTTGTAAGTGGGGAAACGTTTAGGTCATTCATGATTATCACTAAGGGTCTACATGAATCAATGATTTTTCGTTTTGTATCTGTAATATACAGAATGAATTTCTGACTGAAAAAACATACAGTTATTGGCTTGGTGATAGTTGTAACGTTTTGTAACATTGATAATAAACAGAGAATGTTTTTATGAGTTTATTTATTGCAAACGTAACTATAACTTCTTAACATACATCTGACATATCTCTGAGTACTTGACTGATTGTAAGGGGGCGCCACTCTCTTTTATATTTACAACCTTCCTACATCGAATTTATACCTACATAGAAATATGCTTACGCTTACATATAACTTTACATATTATGTCACATGCCCCTTTTATTTTAGTAACATTCATAGTCTTTGAATTTCATTGGTTTCTGGGTAAGTCTTTGGCTTCTTCTCACTTGACTGTTGATCTCCTTCTGAACTTCACTCTCATCAACGTCATTGTTCGAAACCTCTTCATCGGGAACTTTTTCTTTATCAAATATGGTTTCGTTGCCTATAGAAAATAACTTGCACTTGGTTGAGTATTCATGTCGTTATCATGTTTTTTCTTCATATTCTTTATGTGAATTTTATTTCTTCTATATATAGCTCCTTCCGTGTTTACCAAAAATGAATTTGGATTTTCATCTTGCGATAGTATTTTACCAGGTATCCAATTCTTTAATGATTTTTGCACTAAAACATTACTTCCAAGTTCTGAATCACTTTTCGATGCTCGATCATAGCTGTCGTTTTATGTACGTTTCCTTGCTGTTAGCATTCTGTTACTGGCAAATTTGATCTTATTTTTCTTCCCATAAGTATCTCTGCTGGAGATGGTACTGTATCTTTAGGTGTCGAGTTATAAATTCTCATCAGGCTATATATGTCTTCATTCGGAGACTTGAGTAGGGTGTTTTTGAAAATCTGAACTTGTTGTTCTATAAACCCATTTGATCTTGGATAATTAAGGGCTCCTTGTCGTATGTTTTATATCGTCTTGCTTCAGGTATTCTTTAAATGCATGTGAATCATACGGTGGTCCATTATCGGTCATAATTTCAACTGGTAGTCCATGTGTCGCAAATATTGATTTCAACTCACTTATGACATCTGTTACTTTGGTAGTATTCATTGGAACGATAATTGTATATTTTGAATAATAATAATCCGCCACAAGCATGCATTTTTTATTCTTAAATTCCATGAAATCCATCGCTATTTTCTCCCATGGCACATTAGGTATTGTGTGTTGTTGAAGTGGTTCTTTCTGTTTAGAATTCGAGTGTTTTTGACAAATCTCACACATTGACACGTAAGTGGTTACATCTTCAGTTATCCTAGGCCAATACATAAACTGGTGAGCTCTACTTAAACAAGAATTTATTCCAAAATGTCCCACGTGAATTTTCTCTAACATCAAGCTCCTTAGCGACTTTGGAATTATGAGTTGGTTATTTCTAAATATAAGTCCATTATATTCAGAAATGTCAAAGCGTATATTAGAATACTGCTTGGCTTCGTTATTAACTGATGATACTTTTCTCGGCCATCCATTTCTAATATAAAAGTTGGGTTAATTCAGTATCTATTTGAGTTTCTTTCTGTAACTGCTAAATTCTATCCTTACTTGCCACTACTACTGATTGAACTTTATATGGTATCACTAACTTAGAGTTTAATGTTTTTTGATTTACCGACTTCAATCGGGATAATGCATCTGGAATATACTGCATACGACCAGGAATATATTCTAAATTGACTCTATGCTTGAGTAGGAGTAAAACTAAACTCTGTAGTCCGGGAGAAAGTGCATGAATCGGTTTATTAACTAATCCAATTAAAGGCTTATGGTCTGTTAGAACTTTGAAATCTCATGCATAAGTATAATAATGAAAATGTTCACATGTTACTATTACTGCTAATAGTTCCTTCTCAGTAACAGAGTATCTGTTGTGTTTCTGTCAAACTAGCTGAACAAAAAGCTATCGGATAGTCGTGTTGCATCAATACGCCTCCAATTGCTGACTTACTTGCATCTGCTGCTATTATTACATCTTTGTGTCGAAAAATGATAACACTGGTGCTTCACAAACTAGGTTTTTTAATCTTGCAAAGCAGGCTTCTTCAACACTAGTCCACATCCAGACTGCATAATTTTTCAATAGATTTCGTAAAATTTGTGTCTCCTTGGACGAATTTGGTATAAATCTTGATACATAGTTGATTATTCCTAAAAATGACTGTAGTTCTTTTTTATTGGTTGGACTTTTCATGTCTAAAATTGCTGATACTTTTTCTTTTGATATTTCAATGCCATTTTCTGATATTTCATGTCCTAAATACCTGATTTTCTTGACTGCTAACTGCATTTTATTCTTTTTAAATTTCATGTTATTTTTTCTTGCAGCTTTTAATAAACTGACTAATCTGTCGTTGTTTTCTTGCATAGATAGTCCTTCCAAGTATCAAAATATCATCTGCATAGGCTAAAATTCCATTAATATTTTCGATAATTTTGTTTATTTCTGAGTTTGATAACTGTATCTTCCAAATGGCGTTTGATATCTTGCAAATTTTGGCACTTTCTTCATCTAATGGTATCTGATGATATGCACAGCTTGCATCAAGAACTGAAAAATATTTTGCATCTTTGACTCTAACAAAATCGTTTCCATAGTTGGAAGTTCAAGACGTTCTCGCTTGATGTGTTTATTTAACGGTCTTGGGTCCATACATAATCTCAAATTACCATCACTTTTTTCTACAATCACCAAGGGATGTATCCAATCGGTTGGTTCTTCAATTTTCTTTATTATACCTTGTTTTTCCATTTCATTTAACTGGTTTTCTACTTTAGTGTGTAAAGCTATTAATATTTTTCGACATCTCGCAATCGTTGGCTCTACATTCTCTTGTAACTTTATCCTGTAAACATGTTTGAGGCATCCAACACCTCTGAGAACATCATCATATTCTTCGATTATTTTTGTGTATTCTTTAGTACCTTCCTCTTCTGTTTTGACTTCATTTATTGCGGTATCAATCTTGTCTACTCTTTTTATTAGCTACAATGTATCGATACCTTCTAAACCTAATAAAGGTTGACTATTTTCGGTGGTTATGAAAAAATCTAATACTCCACTACCGTTCTTTGAGTGACATTGTAAAGTACAGATGCCTTCTATTTTAATATCGTGATTAGTGTGAGACCAATTTTCTGTTCGTTTTATTTAACTGTATCTTTAAATTTAATTTGTTAAATGCTTCTTTTGATAATATTCCTGTGTCTAGTTTAAATTTCACATTCTTTTGTGCAATTTTAATAACTTCAAACCATTCATTCTTGTTGTCGATGGAATTGACTATTGCTATCTCTTAATTTATTCGTTTTTTTTCAAATATAGCACTAATGTCGATGACTTCTTCTTCATTAGCCTCTCCTCTTCATTTTCTTGGTTCACTGCATGTACTTGTTTTGATTTGCATGCTTTTGCATTTACCTACTACAACGTTGACCCATGGCTGGACACTTGTCATATTCATGTTCGTACGTGCATCGGCTACACTTCCCTTTTTTGTTTTTCATTCCACTACTTCCATCTGATTTTTCTCTTTCTGTTTTTTGTTTTTGTCTGTACTTTTTATGTTTTACTAAGTTCACCTCACTATACTACACGGTCGAAATTATAAAGAGTGACTAAGACATAATATAAAAACACTATTACCATAATGCGTATAAAATATAAAATAATTTTTACACGGTTCAATATTATTTATCTTTGTGCCGCTCGCTACCCACATCGATAGAATCTATAATCGTCTAGAGACCGAGTTACACTGAACGTCGATCTATATTCTATCTCTGTCTTTTGCACTTNTTGGTAAACGGTTACATTTATTGGCTTGAACAAAGAGTACATATTTTTTTTTGATATTGTTTATCTTTTCAGTAATGTTAAAATTTCTATGATGCCTAGCAAGAGAAAAAAGTTATGAACCAAACAAATGTTAAGTTCTAGGTAAAGTGCCCTCTAACGGCACATAATGAAAATTTTCTCTGACTGGTCAATAGAGCTTCATCTATTTAGTGGGTGTGGAAAAATAAAAAAAATTGAACTTTGACAAGCTGTAACTTGCAAACAATTGACAATTCGAAAAAAATTTTCATTACATACTGCTATTATTTTAATCCATAGAAACTTTATTAACGATTTTATTTACTTCGGTTTGTGGAAATCGGCAGATTATATTTTTCCCATTATCCTTGAATTATTCCCTTCAAAATAAAAAAAAATCGACCGTGCTCGAGAATGTCGAGGTGACGTTTTTTTTTTGCAAATTTGTGACCTACCGACTGCCTCATGTCACGCTCAAATCGTCAGATTATTGAAATGCACACTTTTCGGCATGTAATTAACCCATCATATCTTAATCTGACGCACTCGAGTTTTTCCAACTATCGATTTTTTTTTACTATTCTGATTGGCTGCCCTACACGCGCGGCCTTATATAGAGGACTTAGATATGGTGGAGATACTCAACAGGGTGCAAGGTATCTCTCATATGTTAATCTGCCGTGCTTGAGTAAATCCCAAAATCCCTCTTAGGGATTTTATTAAAAGGCAACAGAAGATATTCTGAAACTTTTAGTTTGAAGAAATAGTAAAATACCGCAAAATTGATGTGTTTAATAATTGGAAAATATGATTTTATAAGTTTTAATTTACAAATAATAAAACAAACATTAAAATTTATTACAGGTATGCTATCCAAGAGTATCTGCAACAATGAAGGCTGACCTAAGGTCTCATTTTCGTGCGCTCTGTCAGGATGATACACCAATGGTTCGTAGGGCTGCTGCTACAAAATTGGGTGAATTGGCCCAAGTTGTAGAATTGGAATATTTGAAATCAGACTTGATCCCCATGTTTGTTAATTTGGCTCAAGACGAACAGGTATAATATAAAATATTGTTTATGTCACGTCTGATAGAATAAGTAATGTTGCTTTATAGGATTCAGTACGACTTTTGGCGGTAGAGGCATGTGTCAGCATCGCGACTCTTTTGCCACAGGAGGATGTAGAACAGCTTGTAATGCCTACTCTACGTCAATGTACAGGTAAGATGTCTTTAATAATTTCAATTGTGATAATTGTTAAATTTTTACTAATACTGGGTGCTCCATTTTGATCTGTATCATAGGGATATCCATTATCATACTTAGGTAAAATGTAAAACAAGATCATACTTGATTGAATGAATTGATGATTGAATGAAGAAAAAACTTACAAGTTTGTAAGTGGGGAAACGTTTAGGTCATTCATGATTATCACTAAGGGTCTACATGAATCAATGATTTTTCGTTTTGTATCTGTAATATACAGAATGAATTTCTGACTGAAAAAACATACAGTTATTGGCTTGGTGATAGTTGTAATGTTTTGTAACTTTATTGATAATAAACAGAGAATGTTTTTATAAGTTTATTTATTGCAAACGTAACTGTAACTTCTTAACATACATCTGACATATCTCTGAGTACTTGACTGACTGTAAGGGGGCGCCACTCTCTTTTATATTTACAACCTTCCTACATCGAATTTATACCTACATAGAAATATGCTTACGTTTACATACAGGGTAGGAAAGTACCGATGGTCTATCTGAAGTTACGTGAGAGCGATAAAGTAAGCCATAGAAATCCATGCGATAGAGACGAAACATTTTGCGTTAAATTGTTAATAACAATGAAAATTGTTAATCAATCGAAAAATCCCTACGATATTGCCTACATTATGTTATGTGAACCTCTACAAAATTTCAAGTCAATTTATTAAAAACTTTTTGAATTATGTTTCCGGCCAATTAAAAAAAACTGGTTTCTTGAAAAACGCTTTTAAAGTTTCTGTTGACATTCCACATAAGAAATTTGTTATATGTATACCTTCAGTCATCGATGCATGCACCATATAATTGGCCTTCTGTATTGATATTTTCTTCATGCTCTTTTTTCGGTTTGATTGGAGACTGAACCTTGCCTCTATAATAGTTAATCATCGCACGCGTTCTCAGTACTTACAATAAGCACTTCTGCAGTGCACTGCGAGTGGTTGCGCTCCACCTCGAAAAAACTCGGGTTCCTGACTTTTCCCCCACCTAAAACTTTTTTCCAATATTCTTCACATAATAAAGCATTGTTTAACCGATTTTTCAAAATTGTAAAGTGGCTTTACCCTTTAATAATACCCAATCTCAAAATGTTTACCTTTTCCTGTGATGGTTTGAAATACAAGATAAGTCAAATTTCACTTTGGCATATTATTTATCTTGAAATTTAGCAATCATGTTCTAATTTGACAGATCTTGTATCTCTTATGATAACCAAGATATAGTGATCACCATAGTGAGTGAATCTAAAAAACCAGATACCTGGTATAATGTGAACCAAAATTTAAATTCATCTATAAATTCTTATTTGTTTAACAATCTAATCTAAAAATTTTAGGTGACACATCATGGAGGGTAAGATATATGGTTGCGGATAAATTTACAGAACTACAGAAAGCAGTAGGACCTGAAATAACAAGAACAGACTTAGTGCCAGCATTTCAAAGTCTTTTAAAAGATACAGAGGCTGAAGTTAGAGCAGCGGCGGCTAATAAGGTCAAGGATTTTTGTCAAAATTTAGATAAAGCACATCAGGAAAATATTATTATGACGAACATACTACCCTGTGTTAAAGAACTAGTTGCTGACCCCAATCAACACGTGAAGTCTGCTTTGGCATCTGTAATAATGGGATTAAGCCCAATTCTGGGTAGGCACAATACAATCGAACATTTACTTCCACTATTTTTGACACAACTTAAAGATGAATGTCCTGAAGTTAGACTGAACATAATTTCTAATTTGGACTGTGTTAATGAGGTTATCGGAATTCAACAGCTGTCTCAATCTCTTCTACCTGCCATTGTGGAGCTGGCGGAGGATTCAAAGTGGAGGGTAAGATCGGCCATTATTGAATACATGCCTTTACTGGCAGGACAACTCGGCAGGGAATTTTTTGACGAGAAACTCAATGCTTTATGTATGACATGGTTGATGGATCACGTGTTCGCCATCAGGGAGGCTGCCACTTTAAACCTCAGAAAACTCGTTGACCAGTTTGGAGCCGAATGGGCAGAAAGCACAATTATCCCTAAAGTCTTGGCTATGTCCAGGGACCAAAACTACTTATACAGAATGACCTGCTTGTTTTGCATCAATGTATTGGCGGAAGCATGCGGGAGTGACATAACCACAAGATTACTTCTGCCGACTGTCCTAAGCATGGCCAACGATAAGGTCGCAAACGTCAGATTTAACGTCGCAAAGACCCTCCAACGAATAGCTCCGCAATTAGACCAAGCTGTAATACAACCTCAAGTTAAACCAGTTTTAGATAAACTAAATGTGGATAATGATGTCGATGTTAAATACTCCGCATCCGAAGCCATCACGGGGATTGCAGGTAAATTCTTTGGAACTGCTTTTCATTTTAATAACAATAATAATCGTCATCTTTATTGAAATATATATTAATATACAGGGTGTCACTTTAAATGAGGGACATATTTATATGGAGGCTACCTTTGGCCTTTAGAAACACTTAGTAGTAGTTTATTTTTTCAAATTCCGTCTTGAAAACTAAATTTTTTTTTAGTAATTTTTATACCCAGCTGTTGGACAAGCTAGTGTGATCTCAAACAACGGCCCGCGATATAACGAGCGTTCAAATAAAAATATGGTCAAGTTGGTTCTGAAAATTTGGACGTAGGGCGTAGCGTATAGCAAATGAACTTAAACGTCATCTGTCAAAGCGCTATATCGCCGCTATCAATTTGAATATTTTCGTTTTAAAAAGCGTTTAAAATGGTGTTTTCTCAAGAACAAAAAGTGTTTATCATAGAGTCCTACTTTAGAAATGGACGCAAGATTGATGGAATATGGAAGTATTCTATTGAGGAATGTTTCATAGAATTTCAAAATCAATTTCCCGGCGTTGTTGAGTACAAAATTTTTCAAAGTGCAGTTCAGCGTTGTGTTAATGTTTTTCGTGAAACGGGCAGTGTAACAAGAAAAGAAGGAAGCGGCCGACCTAAAAAGCGGACTGAAGAATTAAAAGAAAATGTCCAACAAATAATGGAAAATGCGCCAAGAACTTCTGTACGTGTTTTATCA